AACTTCATTTTACTTTTAAATATTATATTTCAATATTAATTTATTAATAATGTTACCTAAGGTTAAAATTAAATTTAACTAATAATATATTATTGGAAGTGCATCTTACGATCTTTCTAGTTCTCTTGCATACTAATTTTAATGTTTTTTACTTAATTTTTTTTACATAATTTTTTATATACATGTACAATTACCACATGTTCTTTTGCTGCGCTAAGTTTGTTAATTTGTAAACTGTATCTAGTTTCAATTAATTTTTTATACAACATGATCTCAGAATGTCCATTGTAGTAAGCTTTTTTACTCACTTAAGATCATTGACTGCTACATGTCTTTTTGGGGTAACACACTTGTAATAACTTTTCTATGGATCTTTGGTTTTTCATACTGGTCTTTTTAGATGAACTAAAGATGCTTTCTGATTAGAAAGCTTCTTTGTCTCTTTTTCTCCACCTTTTGACCGAAAAAACCACCACTCTTTGAGTGATCCTTACTGTATATATATAGTTATAACATATAATCAATAATACAAATTTTATATGTGTATCGTTGTGAGCGAGTTCATTTCTGTTTACAAAAATGTCCATCGGTGATTTATTACCTACCGAGCGTTAATAAAAATTCAAATAATACGCTATAAACTGATACGTCAGAAAAGCAATCATAAAACGGACCAACAAAAAATGAGGTATGAGGTACACCTCAAAGCTCGGAATGAACCATTTTAATGCAAATTTAATTACTGACGGCTCGATGCGTGACGGGTTTTATTTTTTAATATCCCATTAATGTTTCGATTACCAGTGTATTAAAAAAACCGTTTTCTACAAATCGATAGTAGGAGATCCCCCCAAGAGGCCATTAAAATCATCAACTCGGGGTTCTCAAAATACACCTTGAGTAGTAAATGAACCAGAATTGCTTCTAGTGCTGTTTACGAAACAGATATCAACAATATAACATAAAGAAATGTACATTCTTCCTTTAATGGCTTAAAGAAGGAATAATTTATTGATCTATCCGATTTGCAAAACCTATGGCTCAAAAGCTACTTACAAACTTAAATCATATAATACCAATTCCACTACACAATTTCTAAATTCAAAATGCCATTTATTCTTAATGTCCAACAATATATCTCTAGGTTTAAAATATAAATAAATCATTACATAAAAATCAAAATGTCCATTTAAATAGCTTCTAGAACTGATGTACTGTTGTCGATCATTCATCTCTTTGTTGTTTTTTTCCAGTTGTAAACTCCTATTTTTCTGATATCTTGTAGGCTATCACAGCATCTATGTATTGGCCCTCGAAACATTCTTTTGTTATTCTCTCAGTATTCATTCTCAATGCATGTCCTATCGTTTTTACTCTTTGGGACCTTATTTATTGACCAGTACTTCCAGGTCCTTACTTGTTCCCCGTACCCAACCTTCCACCGTGTTTGTGCCTTATTATTATAGCTAAGAGCATTTCCCCCAATCTTTTAAATTTCTTCACATCTGATAAGTTACCTCCTTTAGAGGAGTAAAAAACACATTTTTCTTTTTAGCTAATACAGAGATTCTAAAAACTCTGCAAAATAAGAGTGTGTTTCGTCAATTATCTCTTCGCTTGAGCTGAACTTTTTATCTACGAGCCATCTCTTCAGATTTGGAAAAACAGAATAATCGGAGTAGACCAAATCATAACACTCTTGTCAGCCGGAGCATTATCTTGAAGAAACGACACTTTTGTCTTCTGTATATGGGGCCGTTTCTCACTGAAATCCTGCTTGAATTTGTCCAATAATGCACAATAATATTGGGTATTGATAGTTTTACCATTTTTAAAATAGTCAATTAAAATTATGCCTTTGCAGTTCCAAAACATAAAGGCACTAATTTTCCGACCCATTGATCCACTCTTAGCCGCTTCAGAAGAATCTTTCCAGCTTCAGTCCACTGCAGTGCCGTTATTTTGTTCTCTGTTGTATATTAATGGATCCAGATTTCTCAACGGTTTTTTTCAATCGATTTCTCAACGATTACTCAACGGTTACCAATCGACGCCAAAAGTCCGACATATTGCTCTTCATCAGGTTAAACATTGCTGAGAAGTGATCACAAGATTATGTTTTTGGCCAATGGTCAGCAAATGCTGCAATCATCAGCAGGATAATGATTTCATATTTAAACTTCGTTCAAAATGTGCGCCAAATACAAATCATCGAACCAATATTTGACAGTGTAATCTGAACGAGCGTTATCTCTATACTATTTATCCAATTCATTTATTAAATAATACTGTTTACTTAGAGGCCGAAAATCGTGTTTTCCATAAGCATCATTTTTCCAAACAACGTCAACTTTATGAAGCTGTCAAAAATAAACTAATGGCAACCAAAGAATATGGTATAGTAGTAGAGGCGATTAAACTTGGAGCAGAAGCTCTGGAAAAAAGTCTATTTAACTTATGTCCAGAAGACAGCATAATACCAAGCGACAGAGTTTTAATATAAAATATTTTAACATAAAAAAGAGACCCTACGGCAATTGAAAACTGTAGACCTATAAGCCATCTCTATAAATGTTTTACCAACATATTCACCTATAGACTAGAATAAACTCGAAAAATGCTTAACAACCATCGAATTCTCGATATTTTCCTCATGGCCGAAGGTTTACTTAAACAAAACCGAAGTAATGCTTAGTAAACTTTCCCAGGCGACCAAAGAAGTGGGATTACAAATAAATAAAAGCATATCTTAGTTATGACTTAAAAATCACCAACCAGACACAAGAAATACAAAGAAGAATTGGTTTAGGTTAAATTGCTTAAGGCAAATTGAAGGACGCATTCAATGGTGAAATCCCTGAGCCTAGGAAAAAGAGGCCCAGAGATTTCAATAAAGAAATTTAACATTTTAAAATCAAAAACTACACAAGAAAGCCCTGAAATTAGAATTTCCACCCCCAGAGAAACAACCCAGTACCTTCTGTTCGATTACATATACAGGCAAAATTAGAACAAAAATAGCCAAACACATAAAAAAGAAAGGAATAACAGATTTCCGAACAAATAACAACCTAGGCAAATACATCAAAAACAATAAGAGCCAAAATAAAAAACACTTACACAGTGGTGTGTACAAACTTAAATGTGGCGACTGCCCAAAAACTTACATCGGTCAAACTGGTAGAAACTTTTAACAAACGAATAGCAGAACATAAAAGGGCTTTCAATAATAGAAAAACAGATTCTACATACGCACTTCACCTTCTAGATCACAATCATTCTTTTAACGACGAATTTAAAATTCTTCACATTCAAAATAAAGGCCTAAGCTATCCTTGTTAGAATCTACGGAAATCAACAAATTAAAAAACACAGATATAATTCTGAATGACCAACTTGAGACAAACAGTTCTCCCCTCCTCAACCTATTTCATTAGAGACTATAAAGTATAAACGCATGCCAAAAATAGATCACTTGAGAAAGGCAATCAGCCGAAACAGCTGTAGTGATAATGAGTTGAAATAAAATTTTTGTGGAAGTTTAAAAACAAAGTTTTCAGTGTTTTATTGTTACAGATTTGTAGTTGTTTTACTGAACTACGTATGTAGATTTTTCAGACAGGAAATCCTTTGCTTTCCTGTTCCTCGTTTTCCTTGTACTTTTCCCTGTAGAATTAATTGCAGCAACCCATATATTTCGCTGTCCCTCATGGTGTGATCGAGTTATTCGATTTTGGCTGTATTTATTGTGGTTCGGCTCTTTTTTTTTGTATTCTTGTCTTGAAGTAAACATAAGCAGGTATTTTAAAAGCAAAAGATTTTTTAATTATTTACCTTATAAGGTTTTGTTAGTTATTTGAATATTTACTTACCAATATTTACCAAATATATCAATATTTTTAATAGTAGAAATGTATTCACTCTGTTTACTGAAAATTTCAGAGACGGATTGGCATAAATGTATTATAAAAATAAATTTCGCGAGTCTCTGGTAAATATACATCTACATGAAAGGAGGATCGCTATATAAAATCACTTACGCTAGCACGGGATCAGTACCTGAAACCCGACGACCGAAATGGATATTTTAAGGGTTGGAATCATGCAATCCATGAAGACTCCTACAAACATTATGCCAGTAACACAAATATTACGCCTACGAACTACCACAATGTATTTGTATTATGTATTCTATTGTATTGTATAAACGAGAGTGACTTAATAGAACATACAATCGCTTAAATCACAAAAGGTGTTCTCACGTAATATTTTGATGATCAGAAACACATTAAGAAATAGGAATAAGGTTTACTGCTCCTCATACCAGATTATCAAGAACCATCGGAAATATTTCTACAGTATTTCAAGCAGAACTTCTAATGACAATTTGTCACAAAATGGGCCTAACAAAACGCTTCAATTCGTCCAAATCATTAACTATCCCAGACTGTTAAACTGCACCGAAGATTCTGAAATATACAGTTCATAATTCAGTAAGAGCAACGAACAGTCCCTTTAGCAATTGACGAAGCACGAAAACTGCTATAATTCTGTCATGGCCGCCAAAGCATAAAATAATTGCTTGAAAAAATATATATTCTACAAAAATGTAAATAGAACCGCCGAACATATTGACTGTAACTACATTGAGATTGATCTCTAACGCCATAAGTACCAGGAAGAGGTCTTTCTAAAATCTAAACGAAACCTAATTTCGAAACGGATAATAGGCTTTAGAAGCATACATTTGTTGGACTTAACATAGGTCTTAACAAAAGATCTTTCAGATCTAAGGATCTCACAATATGTAAGATAGTTTAGTTAAACAATTAAATATAATCAAGGACAAACTAACCTAAGATCTATTTTCACAAGCAATTTACAAATGCAAAAAGTATTACCGAAATACACCTACTCAACAGACATTTACAATATATTATGTAGTGAAATTACCTAATTTTTTTACAATTTATCATCACTTCTTAAACAAAGGTACTTACTGTGTCCTAAGTGTAAATGCTGCCGATGTGATTGACGATGGTAAATGCAATCCCTTAATTATTTCCTGCCATAACTTCTTATTAATAACATCTACTAAACCACCACGGGCTATCACCAAATTGTACAATTCATAGAGATCAAGAACAGACTTTGCCATTATTGGCAATCGGTTTATCGGAGTCCCTGTAACAAAGAAAATTATTATTACTATAATATATTTAACAAAATCAATATTTAACTTTCGTATGGGAAAAAACAAATTCTTTTATCGGACCAGTTTTTCGAAATATCTGAGTATAGTAATATGTAGCGAGCTCATGTAAAAATAACGTATGGTTTGTCTCTTTAATAAAATTAACTATTTTTCATTTAGCCTATAAAACTTGAAGATTATAACTTTTCGAGAAAGACTAACAAGAAGATTTTAAATACCTACGTAAAAAATCGTGAAACTGTATTTAATAATTTTTTCATTGTCATTTCATTTTTGAATTTTACTTCATATAACGTATAATTATCATGGCGCTTTTCTGAATAAGAGGGTGTGAAATATTTTTCTTCATTTTTATTCGGTCATTATTTTGTGGACTCGTACAAAATAAGTAAGCCTAAAACCCTAAGATCTAGAACGGCAATCTGTAGATTCCAATATTTTCGTAAGTGCGCTGTATCAATATGTTGCTAACCTAACCTACCTAAACTAATTTGTTAAAGCATAAGTCCATAAGGAAACTAAATTCCTGCAGTTGACTGTATACCATGTATCACAAAAAATTTTTATTTAAAAGTTTCTTTATAAAAGGTATAATAATAAGGGCTACATCACCACATAACTTTTTCGGGATAACTATTCCGTCATCAGTACTATCCTAAAATAAGTATAACTACTTTAATTAAAGCAAACTTTATGAAAGGTAAAATATCGATTAAGGTTATTACAAAAAGTGTAGTTAATACTTGCTGGATGTACATATTTGAAGCCACTAAATATGTAGGTAAAAACCTTAATTGTAGTTTGATTAACTTTAAATTACATCTTTGATAATTTAAAAATAATGATGTTTCAGTTATAAAATGAATTAATCACATGGCAACGTAAGTGAGAGCGCCCACCAAAGTGGCGTGGCAAATGGCAAGTGGCAGGTAGCCCGCATCTATCATGTTACTAAAAATGTAACCAATGGAAACGAGTGATTTGACGCACACCAAAATGATAGTGACGTCATGCATTCTAATCATTCGTTTCCATTGGTTACATTTTAAATAAAATGTTAGACGCGTGCTACTTGCTACTTGCAACGTCAGTTTGGTGGGCGCTCTCACTAAGACTGCACTGGGTTTGTTAGTCCTTAGAAGAAGTGTCTGTGAGGACTTGTTAACAGCAACTGATTAAAATGACATATTAGGACGGAATTATGAACAAAGCAGTCAATGTAACCGAAGGTATGTGTCTAAATGTGACAGTAGCCAAAGTAAATTTAAATATGTTAAAATTTGATTGATAATAACAGTAACAACCATCAATATATTGTAATTTAGAGTATAATTTGTCGTGGAATTTTGTTGGAAAATTTCTAAATTGGGTTTGTAGGTGGACTAAAGGTTAATAAATGTTATGAATGTAGGTAGGTTGCAAAAAATTCAACACAAAGTCTTACAAATTTCAAGGCAAAATAACATTGGAACTGTTCTACAAAGGAAGCTAAAAAACGTTTGTAGTATTGCTAGTGGCGATGAATCTTGAATTTACTCGAGAATTACGAACTTTTTTTACGAACGAATTTACTTACCAATCGGAAAAAAAACGCCAATCCTCTGTGTGGGTGTTTGACGATGAGCAAAAACAAACAAAAGTGATATGTTCTCGAAGTGTATCAAAGAAAATGGTAGCAACTTTTGAGTCAACATCGGGTCATCTGGCAACAATTGCTTCAGAAGATCAACGAATGGTTACTTCTGATTGGAATATAACCGTTTGTTTACCAGAAGTTATTGCGAAACTTCGACATAGCAACACAAAACGGCAAATCATTCTACATTGGGACAACGCAAGTGCTTACACTGTCCCAAAGATAATAGAGTTCTTGTAAAAAATTGATTTTTTTAAATAATACACCATGTAGCTCCGATCTAAGTCCCAACGACTTCTTCACGTTCCCAAAGATCAAGAATTGAATGAGTGGCCAGCGATTCTAGTCGCCGGAAGAAGCCATCGATGACTTTACAGCGATTTTGCAGGTTTTAACTGAAGACTGGAATAACTGCTTTATCAAGTGGTTTGAACGTATGTTAAAGTGTATCGAACTCGGTGAGACATATTTTGAAAAGCAATAAAGTACTTCAAGCCTTTATATTTTTTGTCTTTATGGCTATATGCAAAACTAATTAGACAACCATCGTAATGGATTTATTAATACTATGCGCAGACAATATCTTCAAACAGATAATGACTTTTATATTATCCCTGAGCTTTTCATTGTATCCATTCTTAGCATATATTTTCATGGAAGAATTTAAGCACACGTTATGTAGAAACAAGACAAATAACCCACAGTATGATGGAGATATGTAGGTGATGTGTTCATACACCAGAAGCACTGAATAGATTTTTGATTTGCATAAACAATAAAGAATTTCAAATTCACACGGAAAAAGAAAACAACGACTCCGTACCATTTCTGGATGTGTTAATCATAAGAAGGATACAGGATATGCAACCAATCTTTACAGAAAACCAACTCACACCAACCTAGATTTAAGTTATCACTCAAATCACAACCTAATCCCAAAAAAGAATTTCCAAATTATTATATTATAGAGATATGATATAGATTGCCGCTATATTAATAATAATATTAGTAGAGAACCAAACCAAACAAGATGCAAAAGAAATCGAAGAATTGCATCTATAAAATACCTTGCACATACAACAATTTTTATGTGAGAGTAACTGCATAATCACTAAGTGTCAGGATAAATGAGCATCAAACATACATCAAAAACAGGGACTTTTTACTACAATCTGTGGTCATATTGTTTTGCTATTGTTACTATTGATCCCATGTTTGTCTGACATGGTTTATTTTCTCCATATTGTTTGAGTTTATAAATCGGTTTAATTGTTTATTATTATTGTTTAGTGGGTCATCTTCAACTTTAGTTTTCCGCATATTTTGTCACATTCTGTTGCTGTTCTTCTTTTTTAATTGTGAATATTTTCTTTAAGAAGTATATAAAGCGATTCCTTGTATTCTACTTTCTTTTCTGTGTCTATGTTTTCACTTCTTGTTGTTCAATATCAGTTTATTGATACATTTCTTCAAATGTTAGAATTTCTCCCATTGTTCGGCCTCATTAGCAGCCTTTACATTTTTCTAACTTCAGGTACTGGCATAATCGCTTTGGATTAAGCGTATTATTTTCTGTTTCCATTTCTCCCAGTGATTCTGCTCCTTTATTGCATTTCTTCGTCTTCATAATTATTTTCCTTTCTTTTTTTGTCTTAAATATTTTAGTCATGCTTTATTATTATTGTATTTTATCAATGTTTTAAATCAAATTATTGTGTTCATTAAAAGATTTTTAAGTGTTCGAAACCAAAATTCAGGTTACTGCCTAAATAAACTGGGGTGCAAAATTAACCGAACACTTGGATTTTGTTGTTTTTTTGTTGGTGTTTAAATCAAAACTTGTTTAATTTGGTTAAATTGTATTTTATGCCTTATTAGCGATATCGTTTTTTTTTTATTGTTTGAACCTGTTTAGATGTATTGTGCGAACAACACTTTTACACATACATATTATTATTAATGTGAAATAGTGGCTTAGTATTCATTTTAGTTCCTGATTATGTTCGGCTGTAGGTTTTTGTATTGTCTCCGGTTTAAAACTTGCATTAAAAAAATTATGACACGAGAAGAAGTAGCACAAGCTATTGCTTTACATCGCAAATGCTTTAGGAATTTCTCGAAGTACAGTGTTTGATGCAATATAATGATTTCAAGAAACAGGAACAAGTTGAAGTTGAAGATCTATTTCTTAGGTTACAAGCGTTACAAATCATTGGAGTCAGCGTTCACACTTCGCTCGCGAACATCTTAATTGGGGAGCTTTTCACCGATGAATCAATATTTGACAGATCATAATCAGATGGGCGGCCTAGGATAAGAAGAAGAGCTGGTGAACGTTATAATCTTGTTTTACTCCAAGAGTTCAATTTGGTGAAGGTACTATATTGGTGTGGGCAGACATTTCTCTAGAGGCTCATACAGAACTTGTTACAATCCAAGGGGGCAATTTGGACGCTCAATAGTATATTCAGCAATGTTTGAAAGATCACGTAGTGCCATTTGTCCTATTTGTTGGAGAAAACTTTCGTCTGACGCAAGATAATGCTCGACCGCGCACCGCAAGAATAACACGGGATTACTTGGATGAAGTTGGGATTCGTTTATTACCAGGGCTCCCTAGGAGTGCAAACTTAAATTCAATAGAGCATGCATGAGTTATTCTGGGACGACGTATTTGATGTAACCATGGTGAGTTTGAAACAATGAATAATTTGGAGCAAGCAGTTCGTGACGAATGGGAGCAAATCCCTCAAGCAGACTTTGCGACTCAATCCGAAGTATGTCTGATGGAATGATAGCCGTAATCAGTGCACGTGGAGGTAATACACTCTACTAAATATCGTTTTTAATAACGTGTTTATATTAAAAAAAAAAAATTTATTTCTTTGCAGATTTTCAATTTTTTTTAATTGTTTTTCGTTTTTTCTGTGTAACATCCTTGAGTTTTAATAAATTTGACTTTTAAATTTTGTTTATTATTAAATACTCAATTAGGAACATCCTAAACTTTTTTAAACAGTAGTTTAAAAAAAATCTGCAATTTTCGAAACAAACAGACGGTGAATGGACCGACATGAAAGTTGCATTCGACCTATCGATTCATCTAGGTAAGAACCTTTCATGAATTGGTTTCTTATCCTCAAAATAAATGAGCAAATAACTGTCTTTTTTAGATTACTTTTTAATTTAATTAAATTAGCCTCGTATATTTCTCCAATGCGTTTATATTTTGAAAACTGCATTTAACATAAGAAAATTATTTATTTACTAATATAAATACATGAAATGAAACATAGTTTATTCTTAATACAATGCGGAAATATATCTAGGTACAAAAATATACTCAATAATAAAAGAAAATGGTGATGTCTAAAATCGAAGATTGGAACCATTTGTGTTGCACGAAACGCATTCAGTATATAATTACGGACCACAGAAATAGATTTGGAAATCACACTATCTACCAAGAGTCGACTAGATTTAAATAAATCATCAAACGCCAGACAGAAAAACAAAAATTATGAACAAGAGGTGTCGGTGATTAGCTATTAAGAGATTTTTTTTTTGACAGTAATGGGGAATAAGAGCCGAATCTCAATGCGTGAAATGATCAATCATTAATGAAATTTGGCACTAAAAAGTTTCTTTGCATTCTAAGTTTAATTTTGAGAACACAAACGTGTGTTGGATTAACATTTGACAAACAAAAAATGAAATAACAAAATTATTCAAAAATTTGGTATGCCAAAATTAATAAGTAATGTTCAATATTACACATTTACTGTATGAAAGAAACATTATGGAACAGTGGCACCAAAGTAGAAAGTAGAAAAGGAAATCCGGCTCAAAGAATAGCATAAACGATATACAGTCTCTGCTCAATTTATTACCATAAAAATTTCAGTTTTTTGATTTCAATCGCACTGAAAGTATGTTCACTTGGATACTAAGGTGTTGAATGGGTTACATAACTATTGGGTACATAGTTACGTAGAAAACGGTATAAATTTTTCTTGGATTGTCAACAATTTACAGATGACAGTAAAATGTGCTTAAAGTATGGAGTAACTAATTGTATTACATTTTGGGTTTTTTACTTAAAACATATATTGGTGGTCAGTTTACTTAAAATTTGCACCAGTATAAGTATAGTATAAGTATTGACATTATTGCATAATAGTGCTACTTTTGATTTTGGTTTGGAATTTTTAGATAGGTAAATTTAAAGATATTGGTGTTCGGAAATTCTCGTTCATTACTGCTCTATTAGAGAATACTTAATCAGAGAGAGATAGCACGAAAATGTGGTGTATCCCAGTCGTCAGTGCGAAGATTGAGTCAAAATCCCAAACTTTGATTTCGGAAGGGCCGGTGTGGCCAAAAACCATTCAGTCACTCCCAGGGCGAAACGAATTTTAAAAAATTTGGCCGTAAAACCCAGAAGGGCCATAGAGATATAAGAAATAAAATCCACAAGGAAAATAATTCCTGCAGCTGACTGTATACCACGTATCACAAAAAAGAGGTTAGTTCTTTGTAAATGGGTATATTTATAAAAACCCTTAAAAGGGGTATATCAATTACACGAACGTTTTCGGAATAATAATTCCATCATCAGGTTTAAAATGCAAATTGACATGCCGGAGCCCCCAAAATATCAGGGTAAAAACCCTTTAAATTACATCTAGTTACAAAAGATTGTACATAATGTTGTTAATCACATTTGATGTGTAATATTAAATTAAATTTGACTTCAGGTAACATACAACCATGTTTTAGATGAGTTCCTCATGAGGAACTTTTAGATGAGGGCCTCAGCTGAGGCCCGTTTGAAGAGGTTTACTCTCCGGCCACTGGAACTCATCTAAAACATAGGTGTGTGTTACCCGAAGTCAAATTTAATTTAATATTAAACATCAAATGTGATTAACATTATGTACAATCTTTTGTAACTATATGTAATTTAAAGGGTTTTTACCAAATATAGCCATTTACAAAGATCTAACCTCTTTTTTTTATTTTTTATTTAAGAAATAAGTTGGAAGAAAAAGGATGCTTAGTATCGGTGGCTACCGTACGTCGAAATTTGTATGGCATGGGCTTTAAATGTTGCAGGCCTATTAAGAAGCCAAAACTAACACCACAAATGCCCAAAAATCGCTTAGCTTGGGTCAAGACCCATAAAGGCTGGTCTATTGATGATTGGCTTAAGGTAAATTATTAGAAATCGTTTTATTTTCTCACTTTATAATTGTTATTCACATTCACAGGTTTACATCAGCGATGAAGCCTTATTTAAAATTATAGATGATAAGACCTAGTTTGTCCGAAGACGTCCAGACGAAAAATATGAGAAGGGGTGTGTAACTAATACACTTAAACATCCCGCCTCACTAATGGTCGGGGATTAAAGACAAGGGTATAGGACGTTTGAATATCGTAGAAAAAAACCATGCAACAAGGCCAATATAAATGGTTTTGCAGATAAGATTGGTTCCACAAGTGAATGATTATTTTAAACGAAAAGTGATTATTTTAAATATTGTTCGAAAGCTATTTTCTTAGGCGATTTTAATATTATTTATTATCTATAATGGGAATTAACCACAATTTCAGTTGAAAATACGTTTATTTTCACGTTTCATTTTCAACTCGAATATCGTCAAAATTCTCAAAAATAAAGAACGATTTTCGAAGTCGAAATTGTGACTTATTTTATCGTTTATATTAATTCCCATCTCGGCATTATTCATACTTAAGATTTCGATTAGATGTAGGTATTGGATGCTTATTACAATGATCATAGTGTCATCTGCATATCGTAAGTTGTTAATAAATTTTTCGTTAACGGTAACTCCCGTTAACGACTATTGTTATTATTGAGCGTGTTTTTAAAAATTTCTTCAGAATATAAGTTAAAAAAAGTGGCGATACAACGCATCTCTGTCGAACTCATCTACAGATCTTCGTTTCTTCTGACTGTTGCCCATCAATTTGAATTATGGTATTTTGGTTTCAAGATAATATTTGGATTATCTGGATTAATTTATTGTCAACGAGCTTATTCATAAGTATTGATATTAGTTTTCCTTGCCTTACTCTATCGAAAGATTTTTCTTAGTCAACAAAGCATAAGTGTAGGTCAACGTTTGCACCACTACATCGCTGAACCAGTATGCTGATGGCAAATAGTCCTTCTCGAGTACACATTCCATTCCGGAACCCGAACAAAGTCTCACTAATCTCATCCTCTAACTTTTCAAAGACTCGTCATAAGTTATCTTACTCTCTCTCATTACTTTAAGCAGGCTCAATGTTCGATAGTTAAAGCACCATTTTGCTTCTTGTTTTTTAGGGATGGTTATAAGGGTTGACTTCAGCCACTCTTGCTGTAGCATTCCCGTACCGTATACCATGTTGAACAAATCTGTAAATACTTTCAGGTTATTCTCTTCCACTAGTTTTAATAGTTCTACAGGTATTTCGTCTAATTCAGCTGCCATAGCTGCTATTATCTTTTTTCTTTTTGATAGCATATTTGATTTCATCTATCGTGATCGTCTGTGTCCCTAAACGTGAATTTCGTGGATTTGTGTCACAAGGAAGTCACCCGGGGAAAGAAGGCAATTTCATGCAAATATGTCAACAAAAATAGAATGTTAGAAATTA